CTATTTCACATTATCAATTATACATTTTGATCCTTATTTATACTTTTAGTTTCTTATACCAGAGAAACTATTTGGTATTTACATATGTGTGTCCTATTTATTTCACGTAAGAGTATTGCCCCAATGTGTATCCATTTAGCTATAAATGTCTCTACTTTCTCATTCTTTATGGCTAAGTAGTACTCCATTTTATAAAAAACCACATCTTTATCCAGTCTCCAGTTGATGGGCAATTGGGCTGTTTGCAAACTTTAGCTATTACAACCTGTGCCACTATAAACATGAGTGTGCATATATCACTGTGGTATGATTCTTTTAATTATTTTGGGAAGATCCCCAGCAGGGGAATAGCTGGGTCAAACGGGACCTCTAATCCTAGTTTTTTGAGTTATCTCCATGTTGATTTCCACAGTGGTTGCACCAGTCTGCACTCCCACCAGCAATGGAGAAGGGTTCCTTTTTCCTCCACATGTAGTGCTATTGTCTCGGCCACAGGTGTTAGAGGAGGGGTATGTTTCTAATCTAAAGTATTCTCTATTGCCAAAAAGAGGTCCACAAGGTCCTGGTACAAAAGTTTTTCCCTTAGAAATCCAGCTGGGGATGGTGGCTGACCAAGTCAAGCAGGTTGGAAAAAAGTCATGAAGAGACTATTGGCTTGTAACCATGAGTCCTAAGCTTTCTACCGTATAGTTTGTACCAGCTGGTCAGCTAGTACTTTGCCTATTACCATGGGGCTGATGATTTGTATCTGGTGAGACCTCAGAAGGGCAGGTCACATAGCAGCATGAGCCCATGTGACCAGCAGGGCGTAGTAACTCCTAGCCAAGACTCTATGGGTGTTCCATTCACAGATCAGAGATTCTTGATACGAGTGAGAGAGTGGATCCCTGTGGGAGAATCTTGTGGGAGGAAGAATCTTGTGGGAGGCATGTGGCCTCTCCGACCCTTTCCTGTGAGACAGCCTTTAGCTGTCCATGCTTATCTTCAATGCAATGGCTACACCACATCCTTTTCTGTCATAAACTGTTTGGCTTCTAAGAATCATTATTTTGGGTTCTGTGGGTCTTCCCTGCTTAACTGCTACTGTTAGTTTGTTCCCATTCACTGAAGTTTCCAGAACTTATCTCTGATCTTTACAACCTGAAAGAGTCTAACTGACTCAGTAGTGGATGGATTTAAACTAGGAAAAGAACAGTTAGCAGGTGGTTAAAGTAATGTTCTTTGAAGATACAAGTCTCAAATTAGGCAGGTGATGGAAGTCAAAGGGAAGGGGAGGTTAGACTGAATTAGGAGGTAGAACTGACAATGATACTTCAGTGACCAATTAATTGGATGTGGTTTAGAGCAGAGGGAGAGAGTGAGATAGGAGGCACTGATGACAGAAATTTCAACCTTGGCCAATAAATTCAGCTATGATCATTACTATTTGAGCAATCTCTATAAAGTGTAGAGAAATCTTACCTGGTTTCAGAGAGCAACGTGTGTTACACAGGTGAGTTGAAGGGCTAATGTTATAGTTTTCCAGCCAGGGATAGAAAAACCTACTAAAGAAATTAGATTTATGGAATAGATAAACCAGACTTCAGATAAACAGTGGATAGCCCTGGTGTATGCACATTTACTATTTATGTTCATTATTCCTTCATTCAATCAACAAAAACCAAGTACTGCTATAATTCAAGAACTGTGCTTTGTGTTTAGCAGAAAGACAAATATGAAGGCCTCTGACTTTGAGGGGTTTATTATATATATCATTAAATATAGTGGAAAGAATGGTATAAAATGAAAAGAGTGGAAAGAGTGGTATAAAATGAAAGAATTTCTGTGGTTTGGGGAAAATTAGAGGTGAAGATTATGAAGTAGCAATTGGAGTTTTAAAGTAAGATTTTGATGATAAAAACTGATTGCCATTCTAAATTTTTCAGTGGTGAAAAAGCAATTCTTTCTTTCAGCCTCCATGGAATTGTTTCTTTCAGCCTGTAGCCAGGAGGATAATACTATTTTGTAGGGTAGCTCATGACTATCTAAGGAAGACCCTGAGACTAGGAAAATGTGGATACATCACAAATCTTCTAAGGGACAGGATTTCTCAGGCTGCCAGATTGCCATTTTGGGTGGACACAGGTATGGAAGGAGGAAAGTCGCAAAACTTTCAAGCAGGGTTTCTCATGTTCAGCACTGCTGAAGAGAGTGTGGATGCAGGTCTCACCCTTGTATCTCTACTTCTCCATCTCATTATCTGGGCCATCTGGGCTATGCCTCAGTTTGCCGGAAGTAGAGCTATATTCCCTAGGAGGCAGAAATCTGTTATTTTTTTGGAGCTTGAAAATGAATCCAAAAGTAGCAGGAACTCTGATTGCTCCTGATGTCTTCTGGAACATAGAGATAGAATTTTGGTTAACAAATCCTGATATTATTATTGTGAACTGTCTAGTTGGTGAAGAGATGTTTATCATCAATTTCACTTACCTGTAGTGAATAATGACTCTCTACAGGAAACGGACCCAGCTCTCCTGGGGCCTGTGTTGTGCTCCTCTTCGGTCTGTATCACGCTGGGTGCCATCAAAGTGTGTTAAACAATACACCAGCTCTTGCAGAACTGGCAACAGTCTCTCAGTTTTGGCAGACATCTACTGAGACAAGAGAAATTGGCTCTATAATTACCACCCTTAATGATATCCCTTTTGTTTTAATAGGCACATGACATTTATTTTTTCCTTCTGAAAGGAAAACAGGGAACCCTCTATTTTTCAAAACCCTCAAGTCTAGGAATAATAGATTAGAAAGTCTTGAGATGGTGACTTCTTCTTTATATTATTTGCATTTTTAGTATTGGTTTTGAAATCTCTTTGGGATGAGAAAGTAACTATCATTTAACAACAATTATTAAATTACTGTAAGAAAATTTCTTAGAAAATGCGTGGAAAAATAAAAGTGCTATTTGTTTGCTCTCTCCATTGTCATGTGGTAACAAGTGCTCATTTTGGCTGGTTGTGGCATTGGGTACAACACATGGACAAGCAGTGTGGCATTACAATGTCTAATTTTATGCCACAGGGTCAGCAAACATTCCCTGTCCAAGACCTGTGGTGGGAGTTGCTAATTACCCATGGCATACTCCTACTGAGGCCCAGCCTCCGAGCTTCTGTTCTAAGGAGCACTCAAGAGCTCCGACAGTCACCACGAAATAGGTGTGCTGAAGCTGAGTTATTCTAAGTATGCTCAAGGCTTCCTGGTTCAAGGCCTGAGTGAAACCAAGGCCAAGCCTATTTGTCCATCTCCACAGCTAGACACATTCTTGATTTGACCTCTTCACACTGAGATTCACGTTAGGCAGTCTTTTTGCTGAATGTCTTCTACGTTAAGAAGTCTGACCTTTTCTCAAGTGTTTAACATTTTTTTGAATTACAGATTTGGTTCTAAATAAAAAGATACTAGGTTGGATTAGTGGTATAGATGTCCTGGTATATAAAGTATGAGAAACCCTTAATTATATGTAGAAATGATTGCTTGGTAGCTCAAAAGTCTTACATGTACCTTGGACAGTTGTACTTTATTTTGTTATAAAGCAAAAGCTTATTTTTTCTGGTTTTATATTTTATAAAGGCCAAAAACATATATTAAATATTCTATAATGTAAGTTACTACTTATCTGTTCAAGGTATTTCTTATATTATTTAGTTCCACAATTTAACTCAATTCTAATGCTGAATATGACTTTAGTGTTTTGTTTTGTTTTTTTTGAGACAGAGTCTCACTATGCAGTTCAAGCTGGCCTTGAACTCACTATGAAGCCCAGGCTGGGCTCAAAATCACTGCGATCCTCCTGCCTCAGCATGCTGAGTACTGGAATTATAGGTGTGCACTACCATGCCCAGCCTTTTAGTTCATTTTTTAAGTTCAGCCAAGTTACATCCTTGTTTTTCAACTTTTTCATTTGTAGTATTAACATCCATCCACAATCCAATCAACATTTATGGGCATCACAGAAGTTTAAAGCCTATTTTAAAGATATTTTATGTACATCAAATTCCATGAAAGTACCAGATAGCCATGTTGTACCAGATAGCCATATGTTGAGGGGAGTTTTTTTTTTTTTTTTAGATTTCCAAGCTTCTCAGCCGAGGATAAAGCACTTTATGGGAGTGATTTCCCAGTTGCAGGCCATACTGCAGCTTTCTTGCCCTCTCATCTGGATGTTTCTGCTTCTTGTTCTGGTCACTGCTGCAGGCCTAGATCATCTGGATTGAAGTTTTCAGGAGGAGTTTCACAGGGAGGATATGGGTAATTGTTGGTGTTGCTGATGAATGAAGATGACCCAGGAAATTCTAATGACCCAGCTTCTTCTGGCTATATTCCAGACTTGCTAAGCTTCATTAAAGCCTCCTTCACTATTATGACAGGTATACTTCAGGGCCTGTAAGAAGCCCCCACCCAGGATGGCTTAGATCTATGTTGTCCCCTCCCTCTCAGCAAAAGCAGCTTCAAAGCTGGAGTCTATGCTGCCTACAGCTGTAAGGGAAGTTCAACCATCCTTTTCATGTCTTTTACATGCAGTGAAACACAAGGATCAGAATTCTTATATTTCAGGATTAGTTTTCCTCTCATAGTTCTACAAAGTGTTCCAAACATAGAATCCATGTAACACGTAGCTTCTAAGTTTTCCAGTCCTAGGGCTCCTGGGTTCCTCAGGACTTTACTGTCCTAATCAAGTAGTACACTCCCTGTGTGGAATCTTGGCCCCCACTTTCCAGGTATTGTGGGTAGTTTTACCTCAATGTTTTTGTTTTGCTTTTAAAGGAGAATTCAGAATAGAATGGATACTGTGACACCTTGTCAATATTGTTGATAGCAGTTAAAAGGGTGATAACAAGACCATAAATTACATGAAGAATTCACCAAACAAAGGCAGTGGGTCCATGAGTGAGACTGTTTTAATTGAATTGGTATTTGTACAAGGTGACACCCTCTTTTATACCACCCACCTCTTCCCTGAGTGACTCAGCGCTGAGGGAGAAGCCTCTAAAGTGTTCATTAATACAGTGAGGTAGAGGCCGAACCTCACTGAGTAACTCCAGGCTTCTGTTTGTCTCAGTTGGATCCTCCTGAGGAATCACTACAGGCCGGTTAGTTGAAGAGTCCTGGGTTTCTGCCCAAGAGAGGTAAGTGAATTATATTTTTAGACATAAATACATCCGCTTTTACTTTACATGCAAAACTTTGTTTTCCTTCTACTTGATAAATTAGGAGTGTCTGTATTATGTTTGCCTTTTTTTTAGTTAAATTTTGACAGCCTCCAATAGATGTTCTGCTTGCCAAAAACTCTGCCTTCCTAGTGCTCTTAGATCAGATGGGTTTTAATTTGGTAGTTGTGCACTAATAGTGTGGGTGTCACAGAAATGAGAGCCTTTGGAGTTCCTGTGTAGGAGCTGTCTGCAGGGAATTCTCTCACATGTAAGGATAGTGAATTGGTTAATTCAAGAGGCTGCTCTCTCTGGTCTGTTTCCCAAGTAAATACAAACTTTTTTTTCTAAAAAGATCTCCCTATTTTCAAAAATGATGCTTTTAGTGAAATAGTACTCTATTGTTTTGCAGGTAATAAGTCATATGTGTTTTTTTTTTCTCAGTTGCTAAACACACTATTCATTGCTGAGTTCCTGAGAGAGGGTCCAAACCTATATCACTCCTCCCTTTCTTCCCTAAATGAGAAAAACATCCTCTTACACGAGTGTACCAAGGAGTAAAGGAGAGTGAGTATGTGTGTGTGTGTGTGTGTGTGTGTGTGTGTGTGTGTGTGTGTGTGGTGACATGGATGTCCAGTGATTTGGGCCAACTTCTCTGTGGTATATTTTGAATTTTATCCTAAGAACTGATTAAGGTACTTGGGGGCAATTTTCGACTTCTTTTCATATCCTGATCCTGAAAAACCAGTTTTGGAAGGCTTTTGATAAGAACAGGAAAGTTATTTTAACCAGGAGTTCTTTTATAATTAATAGCTGACTTTTTCCCTCCACCAGGTTCTGTTTACAATTCAAAGCTGTGGAAATTAAACACAGTTTATTACTAGCAGCTCCGTGGCCTGCAGCAAAGCATCATTCTCCTCCACCCCTACCCAGCCGAGCCAAGCAAACCTGGTTCTATCATAAGAACTGGAGTTTACATTGCTTCCTGCTTCTGCCTGGGCCCCCCAAAATCTCAGAGAGATTTTGGTGTATCAGTGCTCATTTCCCAAAGGTTTACTGAATGTAACTTTCCAGCATTTATAGTATACATTTTATTTTTCTTTAAATCTGATACAATTTAAAATTGGTTTTCACTTTCACATTTTATAATATGGCCTTGCTGATAATTGTACTCCAGTGTTTAAAATATCAGTAAAATCAATTTGAAAAAATCTAAGATATGACAGCAGTTAGCATGTCTCTAAAACATTTAGGTGATTACATATATTTACTGAGAGAAACAGGCCAGAATTTTATTGAAATTTTAGCTTCATATAAATCTTAGTTATAATTCTTAGATAAAGTTGACACAGTTTTTCAATTGGAATGAAGAATGCACTCATCCAGTCTACCTCCTGAATTTTCTACATGAGGAAAACAAAAGATAAATGTTAGACAACTTGTCAGGCTTAGATTAACAGAACCAGAAAGGTGAAGCCGGATTGTCTGTCTTTTGTCTTACTGGATTTTTCTAAATGACTTTTCAGATTTCTTTCACATAAAAAGTGTAGTAGCAATAAATGAGTCACACTCCCTCTTTAAAGGACTACAAATGATATAGAAATAGGAATTTCCTTACCTAGCAAACACAAAAATGTTATTATAGTGTGTATGTTATAAGTACGACATAATGGGACATATTTCAAACTTCTGGTTTGTGGAGTTGTTTTATTTATTATGTCCATGGGGGTAAGTCATAGGAGGCAACAGCCCTTCCGTAGGGAGGCAAACCTGTTAGATGTGCATAGTTGTCAACACAATTAGGAACATCACCAACTCAGCTACCATCCTGTAGGTTCCATTTACCTGGTTGCCTTCTGTCACCATCAGAGTTTGATGAAAATACCTGAGAGATTCATATTCCTGGGTCTTTGTAAAGAAAACTAAGAGTTTTGAATGACTGAACTCATACTGTGGAATGAACTGTATAATCCACCAAGCAATCAGCTTGAGAACATTATTTCACTGATAGAATCTGTTATGATTGAGGCATTAACTTCAAGTATTTCTTAAGAGTCAGGAGATAAAATCCTTGGCCTAATCGTCAAAGAGAAATCTTTGTTGGTCACACTTAACTTCTCTTCTGCCATTATCCCTCTTCTAGATCATTTGCTAAACTTGTTCCATTTTCTCTTCTTGAGGACTTTGAAGTGTTTTATGCATTAATTTCTATGCACCTATCTGTAGTTGCTTACTATTCCTAGTTTACCATTGTATAAATCCATGTGATTTTAGGATTTAAGAGAGGCTCTTCCTCAGATCTATTCTTTGCCAAATGACAGCTTTGTTTATTTGACTTGTATTTTCTGTCAGTTTCTAGGCTATGAATCATTCCTTTATTGTGACCATTAATTGGAAGAGTAAACTTTATAGCTATCTATCAAATGCCAACTGTTTTAGTTGTGAATACTCTAAGTGTATGTTCAAGAGCTTTAAGAATCTAATTTATTCTTTGTCTCTAGACCCAAGCTTCCCTGGCTCTAAGGTGTTAGTAAGTCTCCTTTTTATGGAACCTCATGGGAGAAGACAGTGAGCTATAGACAGTGCCTTTCAAACTGGGGACATACATTCCAGCAGACAACAGCAGTGTTCTAGAAGGTGCACAAAAATTAAAGGATGAGCAATGTACATATGTGCATGGAAAACTAATTTTAGTTAAAAGTTCTGGAGAAAACCGTCTGTATAATTCTGCCCTTTTCCCCTTTGTGTTAGGGATGCTTGTAATTTAAAAGGCATCTGTACAAAAAGAACAGGGCAGAAGTTGGGGCTGGAATCCAGATAGATGCAACAAGAACTGGGGCTCAGGAGACAGGTAATTTTTAGTGGATGGAATTTTTGTTAATGAGTATTAGTACCAGGTCTTTTGTAAGATGAAATAGATAATTGTCCCAGACAGCAGGATACTACTTGTGCTGAAACTTTATGTTATTCTGCAGAAAAGAGCAGGTAAGATCATATATTAAAACCTAGAATCAGCAGTAAGAAAATTTTATGGTGGTGGTAGGATTATTAAGACTCAGAAAGTTGGTAGCATCCAGACCTCTAGGTAAAAAGATTTCATTTTTGCAGAATTCTGGACTTTTCTTGTGTAAATAAGGATCAAGTTGTATAACAGATAATGTGAAACAGGAAGAAAAGGTCCAAAGGGGACGGGGAAATGGTGGTGGTGGGGGGGCAGGGGAAAGGAAAGAAGGGGAAAGGAATAAATATGAGAAAAGGAAAAAAACAGAAACAAAGTTTTTGTAAATAGGGAGGGGTGGAGGGGATGAAGGGAGGGCAGGGGAATGGGGAAAAAAATAACCAGGATATATCATGTAAAGTTGCAAATTCCCAATGATAAATGTCATCATATTGTACCAATAAACTTAATGAATTTTTTTAAAAAAGAATTCTGGACTTTGCTTTTCAACCAGTAAATAAGATTCTCTGTGCTAAACTTAGGCTGTGAGATTGCACAGTGAAAGAAGTAACCCATTTTTAATGACTGTAGAGGACAAAATAAGTCTTTACCAGCCTGGTAGTTTTTGGATTTTCTTTTATGCTGTGTATTCAGGCTAAACATAGTTGTATGCATCTGCTTAACCCACTTGAAATTAATTTAGGTGAGCTTGTTAACATTACACTTTATGAAACTCTGTCTTCTTCTTACCTAACATTTTGTGTTCTTATAGGTGGTAATTGGTTTGTTCTATTTATATTCTAGGAGGTAGTGCTTTTGTTTATTGGTTTGTAATTATTATATTCTCTTTATTCTTCTATTGGAGATGCTTTTATAGCATTCATCCTTGTCTAATTCCTAGGGATTTTCTGTGTTTTGGTGATTTCTGGGAAACAAACACTCAAGACCTTTTCAAGCACAAAGATGAATAACACCAGGGTCGTTTGCTCTCATACCATTTTTCTAGACATTTTGGTGTATTTGTTTCCTATTCTACTTTCATCACTAGAGATTTTTCCTAGGCAACTATTCACATTTATTTCTATAAAGATAGAAATTTCCATAAGTATATTAGAAGCTTGATAAGTTGATTGGAAGATTTTGGAGCAGTTAAACTATCCAACAGTCACTCTATAGTAACCTCCTGATGCTTTGGCAAAATGATCAAAGACAATCTACCCCAACTCATGCTCATGGTCGAGTTCCCTCTCTAAGCTCTACTGCAAAAGGATTGTTGTTCTTTGCACTGTTTAGCCCAATAAGTTTCTACCCATTGGCCCCTTTCTGTTTCCCAGGCCTCTGAGATAGGTATTTTGGTATCAGGCTGATTTGGTTTGAATCTCAGCTGCAGTTCACTGGTTATGCAACCTCTGAGTTGCCTATCCTAGAAAAAACCCTAACTTTTCCCACTGCCCATGAGTCTAACTCCTGTTCTAACCTTTCTAAAAAGACTCTGACTTCATTACAATCATTCATTATAAAGTTTCATTTAGGTGTGGAATGAAGATATGAAAGTAACAACCTAAAAGCATTGTGTGAGGTTTAAATGAGAATATATATATATATATATATATAACATATTCAGTATAGCTAGAATTATTCCATCACACAATATATCAGCTGAGTTAAGTTCATTTTTAGTCCCTTTTTTGCTTTTCTTCCTTCATCTTCTGTTTTACTAATTTACTTTTTGCTTCACATTTTTTCCTTTCTACTTTAGTTTTCTTATTGCTTTCTGCCTCTCTTTCCTCCCACTCTTCCTCTCATTCTAGTTTCTTGTCTCTCCTAATATTTCCTAAGAGAAAGTTAGAAGGAAAAGGTAAATGTATTGTTAGGAAAACAAAGCATCTTGTCTTTGTGTACAAAGGGAAGAGTGAGATCAGAAGAGTCTTTCTACTGAGAGGACCCAAAGATGAAAGAAATGGTACAGCAGCCAAGAGGTAGAGTTGGGAACCTGGAATTCTTGGAGTTGGAGCAGGAGGGGTCTGGGTGGGATTGAGCT